CTTGAGGTATTCGTCCAATCACAACGCACTGGATAGCTGGCCAATCAGCTTACACCTCGCTTTTCAGAACGATGAGCTTTGTAAAAATTGAGCGTTTCAGAAAGGCGGGGAATAGAGGAGCAACAATAATGTACATTATGTGGAAAATAATGTGTTTTTTGAACCTTAAACCGCATAAACACATTGCATTACACCAAATACACAACATAATGTTCTTTTTAGCAATGTCATATGACCCCTTTAAAAAAAATTGAGGACTTTGCCTCCTCATTTGAGAACACCACAGAACAGTAGAGGTATGAAGAGTGTATTAGGGGTGGGCGATACTGCAAATTTTGGTATCGATCCGATACCAAGTAACTACAGGGCCAGTATCGCCGATACTGATACCGATACTTTTTCCTTTTAAAAACATACATTTAAATGACCAATTACACTTTGAAAGAGCTAAACTCTGCAGGAAAGTGGATCTCGTGGGCCAGATTTGAGGATCCCTGGTCTAAATTAACAATATAATGGAAAACTAATTTAAAAAGTAAGTAAACAACTCATACGCTTACATATAACCTCTTTGTTACGTCAAAATAAGACTTAAAATGGCATGAAAACATGAGAATTACACTTTGAAAATTAACAATAACTAATGTTGATATGACTAAAATATTACATTCACCTTAAAGCTATGTGGATATTCATTGCCTTTCTGAAAGGAGTTTGCAAGCAGAGGAGCCCAGAATATGAAAGCAATAAGTAAAGTTTCATTTTAAGCATTTTCCTCCCATAGAAAATATAGTTATAAAGAAAAAAAAACTTAATGTGACAATGCATTAAGAAAGTAATATTAAAAGGCCAAACTCAGTGTACTGATGACGCAAACTATATGCAGGCAAGCAGCCCAGGATATGAACGCAAAGTGCATGCATGTTAAGTGTTTTCCTCTGATAGAAACCTATATAAATAACGCTTAACGTGGCTTAATCATTGAAGACAGTGATACTGTATAAAAAGGCCAAATAAGGTAAATTTAATGGGTCTGGCTTCCAGTCTCATACGCTTTCAGCAATTTTTAGCTATACAAAACAGCTTGTTTTGCAGCTTGATATTGCAAACCGGTGTTTCTTACCATATTGTTTTAATGTATTGTCTTAATTATAAACACACGGTGGATAGAACAAACAATTTTACCGTTTATTGCACTTTGTTATTTTTATCATTATTTCCCTACAGTGCCTAATGAAGTGGAAGTCTCGCACATTCACAGAAAAAAAAAGCTTACTTCCACATTGAAAAATAAGGTGGATAAGTTGGTGGTGTTGCTACAGTAGTGAATTTCTACTGTTCCATCTCTCACTGTAGCCAAAAGTATCCGCTTGCGCTTGGAGCCACTGAGTCACGTGATGGCATGACAACAAAACAGCATAGCAGGGGAGGAGCAGCATTGTTTGCATATGAGATGCGAAAAGAGCGGCATATACACACACAGACATGTCTACTCTTTGTTGAATGTATTAAGCAGTGTATTAAGTGTAGAGGAGAGAAAAATAACCTAGAATATCGATCTAATCAGGCTAGTATTGATCCAATACCAATACCAACGTTGGTATCGATATTATCAATATTAGGATCGATCCGCCCACCCCTAGAGTGTATTCTTCATAGTGATTCATAAAGCTTCAGGTACTTTCTGATGTTTAAATGTTTACATAAATTATATATCATCTAAAGCATGAAGTTTGAATTGCTCAGATGCATAGCTGTTCTGAAAATTAGCTGCAGTCCTTTGGTGACACTCACCCTGCTTGCAAAAAGAGTGACGCAATTGCCACAAGCCTGCCGGCCGCTCCTTCGTCGAATCCGCCGGCCGTCGCTCACTCTAACCCGCAGGCCTCTGCTCACTCTAGCCTGCCGCGTGTGACGCTGTGTGTTTCGTTGTGAAAACGAAACTACTTTGTTTGGCCTTCCAAAAGAGGACACAACTAGAAATCAGTGGTTAAGTTGTATTTACAACACTGTTCCAGAACAGTACAACCCAAATATTTCTTACCATATTGTTTTAATGTATTGTCTTAATTATAAACACACGGTGGATAGAACAAACAATTTTACCGTTTATTGCACTTTGTTATTTTTATCATTATTTCCCTACAGTGCCTAATGAAGTGGAAGTCTCGCACATTCACAGAAAAAAAAAGCTTACTTCCACATTGAAAAATAAGGTGGATAAGTTGGTGGTGTTGCTACAGTAGTGAATTTCTACTGTTCCATCTCTCACTGTAGCCAAAAGTATCCGCTTGCGCTTGGAGCCACTGAGTCACGTGATGGCATGACAACAAAACAGCATAGCAGGGGAGGAGCAGCATTGTTTGCATATGAGATGCGAAAAGAGCGGCATATACACACACAGACATGTCTACTCTTTGTTGAATGTATTAAGCAGTGTATTAAGTGTAGAGGAGAGAAAAATAACCTAGAATATCGATCTAATCAGGCTAGTATTGATCCAATACCAATACCAACGTTGGTATCGATATTATCAATATTAGGATCGATCCGCCCACCCCTAGAGTGTATTCTTCATAGTGATTCATAAAGCTTCAGGTACTTTCTGATGTTTAAATGTTTACATAAATTATATATCATCTAAAGCATGAAGTTTGAATTGCTCAGATGCATAGCTGTTCTGAAAATTAGCTGCAGTCCTTTGGTGACACTCACCCTGCTTGCAAAAAGAGTGACGCAAGTCCTGGAGTCTCGCCTCGAGCCTGCAGACAACAGGGAGTGACAGCAGGGTCAGTGACAGAGCTCTATATCTCTCTTTTATCCATCTGTTAAACCATATTAAACATCTCTTCAATATCGATGCAGACCTCACAATGTAATTTCAATGATATAATTTATATTAAAGAAAAAAGACCATTGTCTATTTTGATAGGACCCAGAAAGAGCCTGCAGTCGGCTGATCTCATTGACGTCAGTTGCAGGACTCTCTCATAATTAGACTGGATTTGCCGGACACCTTTATCTCCATCATCATTATTCTGTCATAACAACTCCACGAGTATCTTAGAGGAAGCACGCCGCAGCCATCGGTCAGGAAAATGTGTTTACTTTGGACCCACACATAGCCACACCCACCTTTCAGACTGCTTGTCCAGCTTCAGTAAAGCAGTGAAGAGCATGACAATCGCTATGGCAATGACAAAAAACTGAAAGAAAAAAAACACAAAAAGCAAAAACAAATGGGGTGGAACACAAAGAGGGGCAAGGCATGAAATCTCAAAACAAAGACTTGTTTTGTAAACATATGTAACAGTAAAATGTAAAACTTAAAAGCAAGTGACAAAAAAGTAACATGAAATGGACAAGACAGGCAAGAAAAAGGACAACAACGCAGGGCAAGACTAACCAAAAACTGACATCCCAATGTTGGCCAACAGAACCAACTGTACTGGGCATAAGCAAGCTGGCAAACTTTGATTGGTTACTGAATTACTATGTACTTGGAAAAAGCTGATCAAACAAATATAGTATCAATGTCAGGCTTCACAAGACCTCACGTACCTCCTGAAGCTGAAGGCGAACCCTGTTGAAGAGTCGCAGCCAGTTGGCTTTGGCCCTTACTGCAGGGTCCACAGGTGGCTCCAGCTTTGGTGTGCTGGGAAAAGATGGAAAAATTGTTAGATTTAACTTGCATTCAGCAAAATGTCATGAAAGGCTACACCTTATCCAAGGACTCAGCACATGAAGCTTACCTCTCTGGAGGAGCCTCTTTCTTTTCTTGTTCTGCTTCAGGCAGGACCTCGGTAGCAGGGGTAGGCAAAGGTTCCTCCGAAGGGGCTGCCAGCTTGCCTGCAGGTGTTGGGACCTGCTCAGGCTCCAACTCTGAGACTCGCGGTGGGGTCGAGGTACGAGGTACCTTGGCAAAGACATCATGTGGCTGTTGTGGGGGCGGTGACTCTCGCTTAGGCTCCATGGTCTGGAATGGTGGTTGGGATTGTGGTGGCTGTTGCTGGTGCATGGAAGCCTGTTTCTCCAGTGGTGGACGGCTGGTTGGGGCCTCAGGAGCCAATGTTGGGGCAGTGCTGGTTGGAGTAGAGGTGTAAGGTGGCTCCTGCTCTTCACTGAGAGTACCATCCAGTGGGTAAAGACCTTCATCCTCTTCATACACCATTCCTTCCTCTTCTTCCTCATAGGGATACTCCCCTTCCTCCTGCTCATAGATCTCAACATTCTCTTCATCATAGAGTGCACCTTCTTCACCTCCATCTTTGTTATACTCCCCATCATCACTGTAGACGCCCTGCGGCTCATCTGGATCCCAACCAGGTGAGTCTTTACCACAGCTAACGGAGGAATGACAGGAATGGTAGGAGTCATTCTCGTCGTAGAACTCTCCGGAACCTCGGAAGCTCTCACCATCCTCTGGGCCAAACTCCTCACTGAGTTGGGAGCTGCCGCGGCTCAGCTCACCCGAGGAGGCATAGCGACTACTGCCGGTGGGGCTGTGGGAGTAAAGAGTTGTTAGTTATATTAAGTCATGGAAGAAACAAGATGGGCGACTGCTGATATACGGGTTTATGGGCCATAAGAATTGAGGTAAAGAAAGCAGGAACGACCAACCACAAAGGAAAATTATCCTTGTCAGCTGATAGAAGTCTCTCCCTGCTGAAAACAACAGCTTAAACCTGCCACAGATGGTTTTCTGGTCTTAACGGGTCTCTCAGAAGTCAGGCCAGTAGACCAGCTTAAACCAGCTAAGACAAGCAAACAAATTTAGGGTTGGTTTAAGGTATTCTCTTCAGCAGGGAAACAGTTTCTGCTTAGGATGTATGCGTGCAGGTAAGGTGGTGAGAGAAAACAAGACAGAATCCTGAGGTTCATTTGAGGGAGTCGAAGGAAAAAACTCACATTAACATACAGACTCAAAAAGAGCTGTTTCACAAAAAATGCTAAGATGGCAATGGGAAGAGTTGTCAGTGGACAGATTCATCCAGGTGGACTTAAGAAAGGACAACACATTGATAAAACAGAGAGAGAAACACTGAGCTGACAGAAAAGGGGATGCAGCATTTTCCTGTGACACTTTAAACAATGGAAGGCTATTTATCTTTGCTGATGAATGAGCCAATTAGGTGTAGAGAGATTGAGAGAATGGAATGAGTAAGAAAAGACACGCTGCCACACACACACACACACACTCACTCACACATTATCGATTATGGGACGTAAGGTTTAGTAATGCATGAAGAATCAAAAGTGAAAGAGATGGGGTGTGTAACAGGCTGTGAGCCAAAAAGCGTCTGGGATTCAGACTGGAGAAATACGAGAGCCACAGGACACACACACAATTACACATACAATCACGCTTCTGTCAAGCCTTTCCGCCAGTTAGTCATATATCCTTGTCACCTTTTCTCACTTCCTCGCGCACGAACCCATAAATTCTCAAGACACACACACACAGCTTTATTTCCTGTCTTCCACACAACACGTTTTGGCTTTCAGAAAGGTTTTGTCTATGAGATGCTGAAAGGGTAAATCAGTGATGTGAACATCCCCTGGTCTCTGTCACAGCCATCGACATGGTCCCGCCTGCTGCCCACACACAGCCTAGTGTGTCTAAAGGCTATGTAATTAGCGCACACTAGGCTTTTGGAATTACAACGTTATTCTCTAACTCTGTCAGGCATATAGCAGGCAAATAACAGACTTCACAAAACACAGACTGTGTGACCAACCCAGTGGACCCCCATCGGCAATTGCACCAAATTCCGATTACACGGTACAGAAGACACAAGAAAAAGCTTCTGAGACGTACGGGTTGGTTACCTAATAACATGTGACAGGTCATTAACAGGTACACAGTAGTCATGATAGAGGACATAGATACATATACAAAGAGGTATAGATAGAGTATATATATCAATAGACCATGTATGTAAAAGAAGGATTGGTGCACATGCATGGCAAGCATAGCGAGGACCACAGGACCAGACAAGTCCAATTCCACGACATCATCACAGCGGGACGGAATCACAGGCTGGAGCAGGAAGAAGAGCAGGAGGAGGAGGTGGAAGAGGGTGGAGGTGGTGTAGGAGCTACGGAGACCCACCTATCAGAGAGCGAGTGCCTACTGTCTAAGGAGTACTGGCGGCTGGTCCGCCTGCTTGAGCCAGAAGCCGAATCGAGATCGCTGCGGTCGTTGGTGGCGGAGTCTAAACTATCATAGCGTCTGGTGGGAGGGAAGGGGATGGGGGAGGCAGGAAGAGGAGGAGCATGAGTAATGTCTTTTTTCTTATTTGTTTTTTCATCTCACCTCATGTGTTGGGAAAATGACCCAACTTAAGGCAATGGTTAACCAGCTGCTAAGAGAGTCGTATCAAAAGCATCACTTTGGGATCAGGATCTATCCATTTGTAAGACTTTCTAAAGGATTCAAGAGGCTATAACATGTTGATATGTTGATTTGCAGTCTCAAGGCCTTTGCTTGCACGCATCTGTTAAGTCCACAAGACTGTAGGGTGGCTGCTTTGAGGCAGCTATGCCTCCTTTTGGTAAAGATATCTTAAGGGACAATTACCCAACAGTCTGCCCTGTTGAAAAAACCAGCATATGCTGGTTAGGTATGTTTTGAAGCATGGTAGCTGGTTTGAGCTGGCTTAAGCTGGTCCTTAGTTGGTCATGAGTTGGTTATTAGCTGGTCATGAGCTGGTTTAAGCTGGTCATGTGCTGGTCCTAAGCAACCATCTCCTGCACAGGACCAGCTTAAACCAGCTCATGACCAACTAAGGACCAGCTCAAACCAGTTGCAATGTTAAAAAACACACCTATCCAGGTTTTTTTCAACAAGGTGTGTGGTAAAATGACCTGGAGAAGGAGCTTCAGGTGCCATTTGGGACAAGGCAAGAGTCTCAGAGCACAAAGTCTCCAGCATGCAATGCAAGAATGCAGTGCAATGAAAGACAAAATGTACAGGAAATAAAAGCTCGTTTTGAAGTGAATTGGGCCAAAACAAGCAATTGAGGGCAAACGTTGCATTCATATCACAGAGTGGCACCAGTGTGGCTCCAAACCCATGAAGTGTATACAATGACCGCTCATCCAAGGCTTGTATACAGTCACCAATGCATAGGAATAAGAACAGAGGAAAGTCGCACAGACACAGTGAATGCTTTTACTAACTGATAGATGCTAAAGTGACTAGAATTAGCAAATACATTGCAACCAGGAATTGGTCAAATTTACCTAATGGGTCTCTGGTTATCATAGTCGTAGTCATGCATGTCGTTGTAGCGGGAGCCATGGTGCATGTGACGGATGGGGTATTGGTGCATGGATGCGTTGGGCTGAGAAGTGGTGTAGAATGGAGGCGGGATGCTGTTGCTGGTTTCGCTGCGGTAATCACTGTCTCGATCGTCCACAGCACTGTCTGGATCGTCATCTGAGAAGCAAGTGCAGAATTTAGATGTAAAACGTGTGGATTAACCGTAATATATATATATATATATTTTAAATATAAATGTTCCAGGACCAAAACCATACCCATCAAACTTCGGGAGGAATCAATGAAAGTTTTCATGCATTTCTTTTTAAACCCATAAAACAAAGTTTACTTACTTTGCTGGTCCCCCCATAGACTCCAGTTACCTATGGGAACAATGAGTCAACACAAAAATTAGAAGTAGGCCAAGAAATATATCTTTTTGAGACACATGCCTCTGTGTGACCATGAACAAGCAGCTTGTTATAAATCTAGGTTGTAAAACTACCAGGTGTGACACAGATGTAAATTTGGATGTCTGGAGTGCAGGATAGTGACCTCGCCCAGGCACGGTAAGTGCTAATGGTTAATAGCTCTGATGTAAAGCAATAAAAAATGGCCTGTTGGCAAGCCAAAGATTCCCGCTCCTCCTTAACCCACCCATGCTTGAGATATTGCTGAATACTGTCCAGGAAATCTCTATGCACCATCCATAGCCATCCATCTAGTGCTCAGAGATAAAGCAGTCTCATATTGGACCTGCTGATGGGGTGATTGGACCTCTAATGAGGTTCTGCACACATCAACCTACCAAGGGGCCTTGCAATTTATAGTGTGTGTGAGTGTGAGTAGCGCTTGAAGGCTCACAGCACTGAGTTGATGGCATTGAAAGTGGTCTCTCGTGTTCCTCCTGGTATGTGTACTGCAAAATGAGCAAACAAAAATTACTGTTTGAACAGGTGATAGTCTTTATTTTAACAGGTCAGTAGTTCAGAAGGCAAAGGAAAAAAAATACTGTTCAGGTCTCAGGAGTACTCTGACAGACTCAAATTAACGCATGTTCTGCCCTTGGGCTCTGGGGAGGACTGTAAACACAACAAGACTGGAGTTGAATGAAGAGACTCACATCTTGGTCCCTCATGGCATTGAGCTGCTCCAATTTCTTGGCCCAGTATCGAGCTTCCTCCTCCGGTATATCTGGAAGTATGAAAACTATGGGTTAGCATTAAAACTTAGAACAAGTGTGGACCAAATGCAGTATTTGAGAAAGCAAAAAACAGCAAGGATACCTAATGGCAGTTCGAAACGTGTATCCAAAAGCACTCGATGGAACGTGGGATCTTTGGTGCCACAGATCTCATTCTCAGCCATAATGACCTGGGAGTCTAAAGTCAGCCATTGTCCTGGACCTTCCTACAACGCAAGAGAAAAAAAAAAAGCACTGCGATCAGAGACATGTTGTTGTCTGTAGGGGTGGGAGTAATTTTATTTCACGGCAACGATACTTATATAGTTACAATATAGTTACTTTTGCTTTAAATAATGTATTTATTATATAAACATTTTTGATATCATAGAAATTTCATAATTCTTGTCACCAGTGTCAATATCACAAAAAAAAACAAAAAAAACTCAAGCTCACTGAAGACAAGTAAACAGTCAGAGATTAAATAAGAATTAGGAACCTTAGAATCTTAAACTCTTGTTTACCGCGGAAGCGGTCGTGTGAAGACCGAAGAGTGTAAAGACCATCGACTCTACCGTGCGACTCCACCGGGCAGGGACACCGGCAAAGGATAAGTATCGCTTTTTATTTCTCCTCTTTCCTACTACTTGTTTCACTTCTGTTTCAGTTTTTTATAACCATTTCTTACTATGTGTCAGTAAATTGTTGTTATTTTAGCATGTGTGTTTGCCTCAGTGTTATTTTTTTAGGATTACTGATGAACTAATGTACTTTGATTTGTATTAGTTATCTATTTTAGTTTTAGTCACAGTTGTAGTAATGTTGTCATTTTATTAGTTTTTTATTATGTCTATATAGGCTTTTTAAGTTTTACTTTTATTTAATTTGAGCTATTTCAGTACTTCAACATACAAAATGGAAATGAAATAATATATATATATATTTAATGTATTTATATATATGTACATGTATATGTATATGTGTGTGGCTGTACATACACATATGTAGTTGTTTTTTGGTGTTTGGCTTAGTGTTATGTTAGAATCATTATTATACTCATACCTTTTGTTCTTTTAATATTTTGAATTGTTTTTAGCTTTATTTTTTTGTTTTCATTTAAATGTTTTAGTTTTGAAATGTTGTTGTATGCATTTGTCATTTTTATTTAATTTCTTTTATTTTCTTAAAAGCTTTTAGCTTTTCGTTTTAATTACTTTTTCTTATTTGTGTATGTTTTAATTGTTTTTAGCTTAATTTTTTTTGTTTTCATTTAAATGTTTTAGTTTTGAAATGTTGTTGTATGCATTTGTCATTTTTATTGAATTTATTTTATTTTCTTAAATGTGTATTTATAGAGTTTTAGCTTTAATTACTTTTTCTTATTTGTAAGTCGCTTTGGATAAAAGCGTCTGCTAAATGACTAAAAGTAAAAGTAAAGTAAAAGTAAGGAACCAAATACAAGCAATAGGACAAAAAAACTACAGTAGAACAAATAAATAAGAAATACTACTTATGTTGTATTTAATTCTTGCCAGTGTTTAACCATTCAGAACTCGCGCGCTCTCCTGGGGACTGTGCGCTCATGCACAATCGAAGCGCACACACATAACGCAAGGTTCACACATACTCCGTTTGCTATGCGTATGCGTTGCATATTTTTTCCGCGCTCATGTTAATGGATTTTAAAGTGTTCACACTGCACACGGTTGTGGTCCGGCAGTGTGTTCCAGGAGCGGTGTGTCTGCAGCAGTGCAGTGATTGTTTCCACACCGAGTTTGCTGCACACGCTAAATTAAAGTGACAGCGTATTTTTTGCGGTAAATATGAAAACGAAAATGTAGTAATTACACCATAAATGCATATAATTAAAGTCTGTGTTTCACAGCCAACACATATGGCTTGTTGGCTAGTTTTAAAGGAAAAGAGCACTTTTAGATAAAAAAGGCAATGATAGATGGCACTCGTGGAGGTAGGAAAACAAAGTTCTTTATGAACCGCAGGATTACTTGTAATAAAGATTGAAATGCAAAAGAAAAGGCAGTAGAGTTGACTGTTTCTGTCAGTGGTAAGTTTTAATTTAGAATTTTTGCGATAATGTAAGAAAAGTAGTTTAAATGTTTTGCCACTTGCTTGAGCAACTGTGTTGTGCTGTGTGTAAGCTATTGTGCAACAACTGCATGAGTGTAAAAACAAAAATGCACTTCATGATCGAACATTTAGGTGAGATAAATATATATTTTTGAAAAATGTAAAAAAAATGCTCTCCTCCACCCCTCAAATAAATAAAAAAAAACCTTTCACAAGAGTCACCTATAAGAGGGAAATTCTCCCCTTTTTCAAAAATGAAATTCAGGCCCTGAATAAATGTCTAAAAATCCTGATTGAAGTATTACTATAAATAATTCTACATGATAAAAATAAGGCTTTAAAAAGATCGGTATCGGTGATCGTATCGGCAGTTACTGCTTTCTGGGATCGGCCTCAAAAATCCTGATCGGAGCACCCCTACAAATATTAACATATAGTATCTTACTGGGAATGGTTTCTGCAACATGTTTGCAATGAGAGCCAATGCTAGGCATCAGCTACAGATCTACATATATAGCTCTACAGAGGGTGAGAAAAGCTGCAAGCTGTTGGGGGCCAGGCAGGCCATCTGGGCTGTACCTCGTTCGACTGTCGAATGCTGCGCAAAGGGATCCACAATGTGCCAACCATGGTGTCCCAGATCAGTCCTTTGTTCCATACCTCCACTGTCAGGCCCAGATCCAGCCTGTTAATCTCACTAGAAGATGAAGTGAAGGGTAGTATTGAGAAACAGAGAGATGGAGAGAGATGTTCATGTGTTGTTATGATGATATGGAGACTATACTGCTATGACTGTTTCATATATATTCAATTAATAAACTCACATTAAAAATAAAGAGACCTAAGGCAAAATTTTCTGAAATACTGTGGAGAAACTGCAAGACTCAGTAGTTTTAGTTCGATTTGGTGCTGAAAAACCAGACCCCAGAGAATAGTGGACGACAAAAAAGATCAATTTTAACAGGGGCACTATATTAAATGGAAAAAGAAACAGAAAATAGCAATAAAAACCAAACAGGGTGCAGACAACAATGCCATCTGTGCCTTGGGCATCTCCAGTGCCACTCCATGTGAAGCTCCATAGGACTACGGTCTCTAAAGCGGCATCAAATCCTAATAATAGCCTTAACTTTGATATCAAAACCAATCCTTCTTATAGACCACAGGGGCTAATCTTGGGGACAGTGGTGGTGCTGCGTTAGACATTACACAGCAAGACACAGAGGTGCTGAAGCAGATCTGGCTTATAGATGACTCAAGATGAAGTTGGAAAGAATTTTGCAGTGTCAACCAGATGCTTTCGTGGTTTTGCTCTCAGTGTCTCAAAAGTTTGTACATGTATGTATTAGACATTTACATTCTGAACAAAATGCAAGAGCAAAAACATTTTCTTATTTGTGAGTGGATGCAAGTGTGTTGCTATGTTGTTCTAACTGGTTGCTAGGGTGGTCTGGGTGGCTACTTGGGGTGTAATGGTACACAGAAGTCACAGTTCGGTACGTACTTAGGTTTTGGGGTCACGGTTCGATACGAGTTCAGTACAACAGGAGATGTATTTTTTCATTTATTTTGAACACAGTAGTGCTACATATATGTAGCATGAGCAGTTGTTTTTTATTTGAATTAGACTCTAGAATTTCAAGATTAAAAGCAAAAACGAAATGGTCTGACTTTAGATTTGTGAAATTATGCTACATAAGACACCTGCACAAAACAAAAACAGCAGACGGACTGAATTAAAATGCAAATTTATTCTCTGACAGTAAATGGCGCTTATGGAACAGCAGCGATATAGAGCTTCCTATATAAACCCACAAATATTTTTCTTCCTATATTTCGAGCATCACGAACAGTGAGCTTGACCTGCCTGGTACAGTATCTTCTCCTGTTTACAGACTTCATAAAAATGCCACACAAATTACATTTGGGAAATTATTGCAATGCAGTTTGCGTGCAATTCTGGAATTGAGATCAGCCAAAATAAAACCCAAAACCAGTTCCAATTTATAGCCGGTCGACCGGTGCATCTCTAGAACCTAAACTTTCTCACACTGCTGATTTAAAGCAAGCAGGCGGTTCTTCAAGCTCTTGTGTGCCGTCTGAATGTGCCGTTCTTGTTTTGGGTTGTTGCATAGATCGCCTCTTCTTCTGCTCTTTCCTGTTGTGACGTTTAGCGTTGCATTACTGCATGCGCCCCCTTCTGGATTGATATCTATGACTGCCTGTATTCATCGTCTGACTGCATGAACTAAACCGTGACCGTTTGGGGCAAATACATGTACTGTTACACCCCTAGTGGCTACTACGGTGATTGCTAGGACAAGTAATGCAGATTGATTCTTATATGTTCTGGGTGCTTGAATGGGCATACTAGCCCAAGCCAAAAGAGCTCATCCAAGGCTTTTGAAATTAAAAAAATAAATTTAAGATATTACTTTGTTGTACTTAGCGAACTCCTCTATTTAAATGTTTTATGTCTGCTCTTTCAGGACAACCACAACACATATTCTATCTTAAGTTTAGAAGACAAGATTTTCTGCAGTCAGTGCTAAGCAACGTTTGGGCCCTTGAGGGTAAAACCATTAGGGGGTACTACCTGACTGGCACTACCAAGGGAATGCCAACTGTCACATGCTAAAACAGAAATAGCTCCTTCATCAAGGTTCTTGTCAGCTCAGTCGTAAGGCTTGAAACATACTCTACGCAAGTTTGTGACAGCAAATGTTTCTAGCTACATAAGCTCAAGCTCTCACAATAAAGGTTATGGAATGTGTCTGAACGCAGTTTAATTCACGTACAGATGGCATTCTCGGCATTGCAACTAGGGAACACACATTAAGGATGCGCAATGGGACCCTGTGCTTGGAATGCAATGCCCAAACATTTGCATCAGCATTATAGCTTACTTGTTTCCAGCCCTTCCTTATACTGTTAAAGAGAAAGGGAAGAGGAACTCACAACATGAAGTCCTGTTCCCAACATGGCTGACTGCCGCGCACGGTTATGGTGGTGCTTTTCACGTTCTGAACCTTCAGTGACACATACGTGTTGAATTTCTCTGCACAGAAATACCAGTGCATTTAATAGACAGCTGCAGGAAAAAAAATACAAAAAGATATTGTGGAAAGCTAGTTACAGTGAGACTTCAGGCTTACCTTGCGGTCCATCGAGCTTGGCTTTCTTCACTGTAATAGAGAGAGATGGGTATGTAATAAGTAATAAACACAGGTATTAAAAATAATCACACTTTACATATCAGGCAGCGCATTTCACATTCAGTGTCAGCATATTTGCATTTCTGCAAAAGGGACTCCAGTTTGTAGGGATTTTCAATTAGTGGGAAGGCAAATCACATTGGCTAACTTTAGCTTGAACAAACAAAAAGTGCCATGATACTATCATGGTTTTTGGACATTGTCCCACTGCAATGTTTTTTTTTTTTTTTGGTATGCACCATGTTGCATGGTGGTACCATGGTATATAAATACTATGATAATCATTCATTACCAAAGTATAAGGTGAACGTAAGTTGAACTTAGGCATGGGCCGATTACCGGTTTCAAGGTATACCGCGATCTGAAAATTTCACGGTTTCAAAACAGCTAATAATTTCCGTTATACCGTTCCTGCGGTATGCGCTGTTTTTCATGTCTCCTCAAAGACTGAAAGTGTAGGAATCCCTCAGGTTGAGTGCAGTGGAGAGTAACACGACCCTCCTCCTCCTGTTGGTGCAAGCGAGCGGTCAGTCACGTGTGCGTAGGATGGCAGAACTTAAAGGGTTAGTTAACCCAAAAATGAAAATTAGCCCATAAATTATTCACCCTCAAGTCATCCTAGGCGTATATATCTTTCTTCTTTCAGACGAATCCAGTCGGAGTTATATAAAAAATTGTCTTTGATCTTTCAAGCCGTTTAATGCCACATAGCGGGTGTTGCATGCATCCGTCCAAAAGCAGTTAAATAAAATGCGCCCATCC